AACATTTTGTCTGCAGTCACCAGCTGCTCCGTGGGAGGATGGGTACTCTCCTTCCACGCCATTCACTGCCTCTGAAACCTGCCAGAGGGCAAGCTTTGCGTTGATTCCAACTACGGTACAGTAACAACAACAGATATTTTTGTTGGTTTGCATACAGTAATTCATATACATTGTGTTTCATTCATGTACATTATGGGCTTTTTAAGTACTTCTATTTTAAAAAAAATTTTAATTCACGTGTTTCATAAGCTCACTCCCATGCACTGTGTTTTATAAAATTAATCACCATTGAGCTATGCCCACTATTACTCCTCCTTTTCAGATACCTACTGGAACTTTCCTAATTCTTTCACCTCTCCCTTCACCCACCAAATTCTACAAACCTCTGATTTCCCTTTCTTCCAAACCTCAAGCTCCCCAGTTCCCTCTCCTTCCTTCTTTAGACATTTATACACATCTTACTAGTTATCCACATAGTACTGTGCAAAGGCATTTGACTGTGTGGATCATAACAAACTGTGGCTGACTATGAGAAGAATGGGATTCCCAGAACACTTGATTGTGCTAAAACAAAACCCATACTTGGACCAAGAGGCAGTCGTCAGAACAGAGCAAGGGAACACTGCATGGTTCAAAATTGGGAAGGGTGTACGCCAGGGATGCATCCTATCTCCATACCTTTTCAACCTATATGCAGAACAGATTATCCGGGAGGCTGGGCTCTGTGAGGAGAAATGTGGGGTCAAGATTGGTGGAGGGTATATCAACAATCTGCGTTATGCAGATGACACAACCCTGCTTGCTGAAACTGAAGAGGACCTGAAGCACCTGCTGCAGAGGGTCAAGGACTGCAGCCTACAATATGGATTGAGGCTCAATGTCAAGAAGACAAAGATTCTCACCACTGGACCAATCGGCAGCATCAGGATGGATGGTGAAGAGATTGAGATTGTTCACAGCTTTAGTTTGCTTGGCTCCACAGTCAACACTCTTGGCACCAGTAGCCAGGAAATTAAAAGGCGCATTGCCATGGGCAAGTCTGCTGTTAGGGACCTCTCCAAAGTACTGAAGAGCAATGGTGTCTCTCTAGAGACTGAGGTGTGTCTGATACAGGCCATGGTCTTTGCAATCACTTGTTATGCATCAGAGAGTTGGACAATGACCAGGGAGGATAGAAGGAGAATTGATGCCTTTGAGCTGTGGTGCTGGAGAAGAGTATTGAGAGTACCATGGACTGCTAGGAAAACAAACAGATTCATCCTGGAAAGGGTTAAACCAGGTGGCTTCTTGGAGGCAAGGATTCTGAGGCTCCGCCTAACATACTTTGGACATGTTGTGAGAGAGACCGGTCCTTGGAGAGGGACATCATGCTTGGGAGGGTGGAGGGACAGCGCAGGAGAGGAAGGCCCTCTATGAGGTGGATTGATTCAGTGACTGGGATAATCGGGATGGGAGTGTCAGAGATGGTGGGATTGGCACAGGACAGAGCAGAATTTAGGGCTGTTGTACGTAGGGTCGCTATGAGTTGCAAGCGACTCGACGGCACATAACAACAACAACTAGTTATCCTTCTGTTTTTACAATAATTGTCTTATGCAGTGTTTGTCTTTATGAGCCCAATTTAGTTTTAAGTAATGGACAACAAATGCATGAAGAAATGTCCAAATTCCTAGCTATCAGAAAGATGCAAATCAAAACAACAGCGATATATCATCTCAGCCCAGTAACCATAGCTAAATTCAACAGGGCAGCAGACAACAAATGCTGGCAAGGATGTGGAGAGATTGTAAATGTCATTCACTAATGGAGGGAATGTAAAATGGTACAACCACTTTGGAAAGCAGTCTGGCACTTTCTCAAAAAGATAAAAACAGAAATACCATTTGGTCCAGCTATCTCACTACTGGGGTGAGATGGGGCAATCTCATTGGTATTGATCAAGAACAATTAACTATAAAAATGTGTATGAGTGCATAAAAGTGTTGAATCTATATTGTTACAGGTCTTTCTCTTTTTTCCACTGACCCTCTCCCTCACCAAGCACGATGTCTTTCTTCAGATTGTCGCCTCCTGGTAAAGAGTCCAGAGTTTGTGGGATGAAGTCTTACCATCCTTACTTCTCAGGACACTGGAAGTCCACAGTCAGGGTGCAGGCTCCAGGTGAAGTCTTTCAGGAACCTGGGTGCAGAGGAAGAACTCTAGTCCTGGCTCTTCCTTCTTGGTGGACATGATGTCCCTTTGCTCTGCTCAACTCTCTCCCCTTGGCCTGATGGACGCCACACCTCAACAAAATTCCCCTTCTATTGGATTAGGACCACGACCTAATTACAGGTGTTGCATCCCTTCCTAACCCCATTACTGCTGATTGGTTGATCACACAAAGTACAAGGTGGAGGTGGGGGAATGATTACATCATCAATATCTAGCTTTCTTGACATCACAAAGGTTAGGATTTCTGACACAATCTAATTCACTGCAGTAACATGGACACTTTACCCAATCCTGAATTAAAAAACACAGTTGTAAGAAGGAATTTCCAAGAAATAGTTTATTCTGAACAAGGAAAGCCAGTGTGAAGAGATCCATGGACTCCAGGTCTCCAGGCCTCCTTCTAGCACACCTGTCCTCCCGTGTCATAAAGCCAGTCCAGGAAGCAATCTGTAATGCTGCTGTGAGAATCACAGTGGAGAGAGGATCCTGCAATTTCCTGGAAGGGGACAGGACGATGCCATCAGGTAGCCAAAGACTCTGAATGGTGTTCAAAACAAGTGGACCATGTGGACGACACAATCTAGAGACAGTTTCAGTTGAAGGAGTGGGGGCGGGTGGGAGGGGAGAGTATTTATTTTCCTTTTGTAAAAAAGAAAAGTATAAAACCATTCCATACTTTAAAATGTCTTAAGAAATTTAAGAGATGATGACCTTGGCAATCCGGACAAGGGATTTCCAGTGTGGAAGTGGAAAATGAGAGTTGGATGAAGAAATCAACACACAGTTGAGCTTTCAGAGGAGCCCAGAGACACGAGCAAGGTGGGGGTGGGGTGGGGTGGGGTCATGTTCAGGAAAATGGGAACTCCTCCAGAGATGGATCGACACAAGTGTGGGCTCAAACACAACGGCAATTATGAAGATGGCATAGGACCATATAATGCTTGACTGTGCTGTGCATGAGGACATTATGGGTCAGAATGGATCTGATAGCCATGAACTAGACCAACAGATGTCAAGGACTCCAAGTTTAAAGAATCGTAAGCACCAAGCTCATGATGATGGCCATGGAGGTGAAGACAGAAAATAGCTACCATTCAACTCAACTCATCCTCCCTATGTGCCGGGAAAGGATCTTATTTAACTCTGTCACAGCCCTGCAACGTCGGTCTGACCATCTCCATTTTCAAATGAGGACACTGATGCTAAGAGTAGTTATGAGGTTTATCTAAGATTTTCTGGTAAGCAAACGAAAGGGTTGGAGCCCAACCCAAGCATGACTCCAAAATCTAATCCTTGTCTCCTACACACACACACAAACAAGCCAAGCTATCACTATTCAGTTGATTCCAACTCATAGTGACCCTATAGAGGCCCTGAACAACATCATCGCCAACATCAAAGGTGAATTGTTTCCTCAACAAATCATCAAGTTGTTTGGTTTCTGTCAGAATCTAAATTTCCTCATGACCCATCATTCTTAACTCGTAACTATGGAACCCTCTTGTCAACACCAGGTAGGGACTCTCCACCAGACAGTGCTTAGGGGTTGACTGGACACTCTTCCTGGGAAGGAAAACATGGGAGGATGAAAGAGAACCCAGGTCCTACCACGAGACTTGGGTTTGGGGGGAACTGTGATGCTACTCTTGATGGTGGATGGGACCCTCCCAGTGTCCATGAAGGTGGGGATAAGAGCTGATGAAAGAAGAGGAAGAGAAGGCAGTCTTCTGTGAATGAGAGGAGGAGCGGGTCTGCAGCACCAAGACGTGGGGGACCAGTTGGTCTGTACACTGTGCCATCTTGGAAGGCCACAAAGACTGTGGTCTGGCAGAAAACACCGAAGGAAACACTTAGGTTTTGGTAGAAGGTCAACTAAATCAAGGGGAACCCTCCATGAGATAGACTGACAGAGCATTCTCAATGGTAGAGTCACTCATAGCAACAGTGATGGTAACAGCCAAGACTGGATTACATTTGACTCTGTTGTGTTCAACACTGTCATGAGATGAAGCTGACTCAAGGACAGCTAAGAGCAGCAGAGCAACAGCAATAACAATAACAACAACAACAATAGGTTTTTCTCCAGGATTCAGAAATGATGTTTCAATAGACAAGGCAAAGACATCAAACATTTTGCTGCTGGGGCCGCATGTTTAGAAAGTTATCACATACTGAGAGGAACATCTTCAACAAAATAGACTGACACAGTGGCTGTAACAACGGCTTGAACATGGTGGAGACTTTGAGGATGGCGCAGGGCAAGGTTTCAATCTGTTCATAGGGTCGCTAGGAGATGCGGTGGACTCAACAGCACCTAACAATAACAACAACAACAACATCAGGTAACAAGCTAAGAAGAACTGAGTTGCAAAGCCATAATGGTCCATTGCTTTAGGGAGCTGGGGGATGTGCTTTCATTTTGAAAGTTCCATGTTGTGTTTATAAACAACTTCTTGACGCATGTCAAAGGTTTTACATGTCTGCTCTCCAGTTGGAGTCTAACATAAATCCTTGCAATTAGATTTGGGGCCAAAGGCTGCTGAATCTCCTTGGATAGATGCAGAAAATGAGGCTCAAAGAGGACACAGCTTGTCCCACGTCACACAAGCTATCAAGGGGGTGAAGGAGTGGCCAGGACCAGAGCCCAGGCTTCCCAGGTCTCAGCCCAGAACGTTCTCTGCGTCCAGAGCCATCATGGGTGGGATGGGAACCATCAGGGCACAGAGAAGGGATCCCTGAGGCCAGGGCAGAGCCGTGTGCAGTCCAGATGGGGGGCACTGGGCAGTGGATTAGCTGCTGCAGCCTCGGGAGCAGGCATGGCTGAGGAGGTTGTTGTTGCACCCATCCTGGACCTTGTCCTGACTTGTTTGGTCATCCGTGTCTGACAGCTGACTGCTCTGGTCTTGTTGCCTCCGTAGCCTGCAAATAAACACAGCACAGACACAGGTCAGACCACAGCAGGAGGCGGTGGGAGGCCAGGAAGATGCTCCTGGCGATGTTGACTGACTCTGGAGCCTGCAGCCCGAGCCTCTACCTGCTGCAGAGAGGTCCGGACCGAGGGGTTCACAGTGTTGAGCTCAGCAGTCAGACAGACCTGAGCTCCCAGCCAAGCTCAGCACCAAAGGAGCTGGGAGCACTAGAATAAGTCATTTACCATGAACAGCATCAGTTTCTCCATCTGTAAAATGGAGATAGTAGTTCTTACCTCATGCGCCCCTGGTAGTGTTTACTGACGACCATGGACGTAACTATCACACAACCTATAAAGGCATTGACACCCACGCACCATCCATTTGGGGAATCTACACTGAATGCTCGCCATCAGAGAAGCCATTGTGTTGGCTCAGTGGCAGAATTTGTGTCTTCCGTGCCGGAAACCAGGGTTCAGATCCCAGCCAAAGTACCTCATGCCCAGCCATCGCCCACCTGTCAGTGTGGGCTTCTGTGCTGCTGCGATGCTGAAAAAGGTTTCAGTAGAGTGTCCAAGAGAAGACAGAGTAGGATGAAAGGGCTGGCTGTCTGCTTTCCAAAATCAGCCAAATGGAACACATAAAGGGTCCAGTGGTGTGATCTAGAAATGGCCATGGGGATGGGACAGGATCAGGCACTGCTTCATTCTGCTGTGCACAGGGTCATCGTGGTCCAAGGCCAAATCGAGGGCTGCTCACAGTAACCACCACAAGGGAAGCTGGAGAGCTGGGACGGCCGTGCGGTTTCAGATGGGCGGGCCTTGTGACACACTGCAGAAGATGCAGGACTTAGCCATCCATCCTTCTGCAAAAGCTCTCAGACCATCAGGCGTCACAATGACCAAAGCAATGTCAAGAGTATCCCAGAATGTACTTTCACTTCTGGTTCTAGTCTAGGGTGAATACCAACAGAGAGATGGCTTTGAAGAACAGAAATGGATTTTCTAATAGCTCTGGCTTCAACAGCAGCTACAACTGGCTCGAGTGGGACCGAGACTGTGATGTTGCTGCAGGACTGACAAGGTTTCATTCCGCTGACCGGGTTCCCTGAGACAGAGCCAACTCCACGGCACCAACAAGAGTATGCAGGGCTGCTGGGTTGTCAGGTGCCATTGAGTTGATTTCAACTCATAGTGACACTATGAACAGATGGAGTCTGATGCTATCTTGTGTCACCTTCCTGGTCTCCACCATGCTCAAGGCCACTGCCACTGTCATCATGTCAATCTATCTTTTAAAATAAATTTATATTGGTTTGCAAACAAATTTTGTATATGTTAGGACCACGGAGCTGCTCTCCCTCCCTTTCCCAGAACAGCCACAGAAATGATCAAACTACAGGAAGCAGCGGCTGTAACTCTCTTTATCTCTATTAGGGCTGCAAAAACTATGCCACCTCTGCACACCCATGTTTATTGTGGCTTTGTTCACAATAGCAAGGAGTTGGAAACAACCTAAGTGCCCATCAACAAACAAATGGATAGAGAAGCTGTGGTATAGTCACACAGTGGAATACTATGCTGCATTGAAAAACAAGGAACTCATGAAATATTATTCAAAATGGGTGACCTTGGAGGACATTATGCTGAGTGAAATATCTCAGTCACAAAAGGACAAATACTGCATAGTGCCACTGTTGTAAAACAGGACTGACATCAGAGTTGGGGGGGAGACTGAGAAAGGTGGGTTCAATATTGTATACTGCATTGAAACAGATGAGGGAGAAAACTGTTTAAAAGGGATATGTGATTAGGTAGTTTTGTCATGACGGGAGTCCAGAGTGAAGCCTGCATAGTGGAGTGAACCTGGGGGAGGGATTGTAAAACAATGAAAGAATATTTCTTTTACTTTTCCAAGAGGGTAGTGTATTAGGGGGGAGGGTTTGGAGGGGAGAAAAGTTCAACAACGAATGAATGGAAATGCAAAGTCTTTGTAAATTTTCATTGAAATTAATAATAAATTAAAAAAAACCACAACCAAACAAATAACCAAACTATGCCACCTCCTTTTCCCAGGAATAACTATCTACAACCCTGGACCTGCTCCCTCATCTTGTAACAAGCAGCTGCCTACAACGCCCCTCTCCAATTTCCTTGTAAAACAATAGAAAACTCCACTCTAAGTAGCTACTGGTCTCTGCTTTAGAGTCAGCCAGCAGTTTCTCCTCAATAAACTTTCTTTCTTGGCCTGAACTGTGTTCTGTCCTTCCTCAGTGACCTTACAGTAGACACTGTGTTTCAGACTTTCCTTCATTCACAATGTGATTCACATGATAATTCCTATATACTACGTTTTATAAAATTAATCACCATTGATCTATGCCCTTCATAACCTGTCTTTTCAGGTCCCTGCCAGATCTCTCCCATTTCCTTCACATCTTCCCTCTGCCCCCAAAAATTCTGCGACCGCACGATGTTACCCCTGCCCACCCTCAGGTTCCCTACTCCTTCCCCTTCTCCTTGCACCTTCATAAGCATTTTACTAGTTGTCCTATTTTTATAATAATGGTCTTATGCACTATTTGTACTTATGAGGCTGAGTTAGTTCACTCAGCGTAAGGCTCTCCAGTCACTTCCACATAGTAGTTTTTGAAACTGTTGCTCCTGAGTGCTGCATAGTATTCCATCATGTGAACGCACTACAATTTCTCAATCCATTCGTTTGTTGTTAGTCTATCTTATTGAAGGTCTTTCTTTTGCTGATCCTGCATTTTTTCCAGCATATGTCTCTTCCCAAGAGCTAGGGCACCCTGACAACTTGCTCAAATCCTTGCCTTAAAAGAGCACTACACTGCCTCCAAGACAGATTTTGCTTGCTCTTTTGGAAGTTCATGGGATATTCCATTCTATTTACCAATACAATTCAAATCAAAGGCATCAGTTCTTCTGTCTTATTGTCTAACTTTCACATCCATATGAAGCAACTGAAAATACCATGGTTTAGGTCAAGGACATCTTCATCCTTAGACAGACACACTTGCATTTAGAAGCCTTTGACAGCAACTTTTCCCAGTACAACTCATTTCTTTTTTAAAATTTCTTGACTGCTGGTACCATGGGTGTTGATTATGGATCCAAGTAAAATGAAGTAGCTGACAACTTTAATATTATCTCCATTTATCATCATGTTGCCGAAGGTTCAGTTGTGAGGATCTTAACTTGTTGTTGTTGTTATGTGCCGTCCATTGAGTCGTCTGCAACTCATAGCGACCCTATGTACAACAGCCCTAAACCCTGCTCTATCCTGTGCCAATCGCACTGTCTCTGACACACCCAACCTGATCACCCCAGTCACTGAATCAATCCATCTCATAGAGGGTCTTCCCCTCTTGCGCCGTCCCTCCACCCTCCCAAGCATGATGTCCCTCTCCAAGGACCTGTCCCTCCTTGCAACATGCCCAAAGTATGTCAGACGAAGCCCCAGAATCCTTGCCTCCAAGGAGTTACTTGGTTTAATCCTCTCCAGGATGAATCTGTTTGTTTTCTTGGCAGTCCATGGTACATTCAATACTCTTCTCCAGTACCACAGCTCAAAGGCATCAATTCTCCTTCTGTCCTCCTTAGTCATTGTCCAACTCCCTGATGCATAACAAGTGATTGCAAAGATCATGGCCTGTATCAGGCGCACCTTAGTCTCCAGAGAGACACCGTTACTCTTGAGTACTTTAGAGAGGTCCCTAACAGCAGACTTTCCCATCACAATACATTTTTTTATTTCCTGACTGCTGGTGCCAAGAGTGTTGATCATGGAGCCGAGCAAACTGAAGCTGTGAACAATCTCAATCTCTTCGCCATCCATCCTGATGCTACCAATTGGTCCAGTGGTGAGAATCTTTGTCTTCTTGACATTGAGCCTCAGTCCATACTGAAGGCTGCAGTCCTTGGCCCTCTGCAGTAAGTGCATGAGGTCATCGTCAGTTTCAGCAAGCAGGGTTGTGTCATCTGCATAACGCAGATTGTTACTAGATCTTCCATCAATCCTGATGCCATAATTCTCCTCAATGAGCCCAGCCTCCCGGATAATCTGCTCTGCATACAGGTGGAAAAGGTATGCAGACAGGACACATCCCTGGCGTACACCCTTCCCAATTTTGAACCATGCAGTGTTACCCTGCTCTGTTCTGACTACTGCCTCTTGGTCCAAGTATAGGTTTCACATTAGCACGATTAAATATTCTGGGATTCCCATTCTTCTCAGAGTCAGGCACAGTTTGTTATGATCCACACAGTCAAACGCCTTTGCATAATCAATGAAACACAGATAGACATTCTTCTGGTATTCCCTGCTTTCAGCTAAGATCCATCTAACATCAGCTACAATATCCCTAGTACCACAACCCCTCCTAAACCCAGCCTGGACTTCTGGCAGTTCTCTGCTGATGTGCTGTTCTAGTCGTTTTTGGATAATCTTCAGTAGAATCTTGCTTGCATGTGAAATCAATGATATTCACTGTTCTGTAGTTTCCACACTCAGTTGGGTCACCCTTCTTTGGAATGGGAACAAATATAGATCTCTTCCAGTCAGTTGGCCAAGTGGTTGTTTTCCAGATTTCTCGGCACAACTTGGTGAGCACATCCAGGGCAAAATCTGTTAGCTGAAATACTTCTTAACTTGAGGTGTAGTCCATATTGAAGGCTGTAGTCTTTGAACTTCTGCAGTAAGTGTACAAGTTCTCTGCTCGTTTAGCAAGCAAGATTGTGCCATCTGCATAATGTAAACCGTTGGTGAGTCAGCCTCCAATCACGCTGCCTTATCCTTCTTCATATAGTCTGGCTTCTGAGTTACAGATTGAATAGGTATCTTGATTTTAAGCCATGCAAGTACTCTGCTATTCTGTTTGAATGACTGTTTCTTGATCTATGTACACATTTCACACAATCATAATTAAGTGTTCTGAGATTCTAATTATTCTCAGTTAACCATCATTTATTATGATTCACACAAATATCTTTTTATACTCAATAAAATACACATAAACATCTTTTGTGTTTTCCAGTCACAAGTGAGATCCATCTGCTGTCAGCAGTGACATTCCTAATTCCATGGCCTCTTCAGAATCCAGCTTGAATTTCTGTCAGTTACCTGTTTATGTAGTGTTCCAGTTTTTTAAAAAATAATCTTCAGCAAGATTTTACATGCATGTGCTATCAAGAAATTATTTGATAATTTCCATATCCTGTTGTATCTACTTTTTGGGGGGGGAATGGGAACATATATGGATCTTGTCCAGTCAGTTGCCAGGTAGCCGTCTTCCAAATTTCTTGGCATGTTCTAGTGAGCATTTCCAGGGCCGCATCACTATACAAATTCTCCACAACTGATAATCCATAAATTCCAGGAATATTATTTTCATGAATGCTTTTGGTGCAGTTCAGATAATTTCCTCGATTACCATTAATTCTCAATCAGACACTACTCCTTGAAATGGTTCCATGCTGACAATTGTTTTGTGGTGAAATGACTCCGAATATTCCTGCAACATTCAAGCTTTTGCCTGTAGAATCCTTCAGGGCTGCACCTTGATACTTGAACTTATTCTCCAGTTCTTTCACCTTGAGAAAGAAGGTGTTCTCCTATGTCAAGCGTGTTCTTCCATTTTTCTCTATTTCTCTGCACATTTCTTCATAATACTTTGCACTGTCTTCTTGAAACGTCCTCTGAAATCTTCTGTTCAGCTTTCCTTTCAGAACTCTGCCTTTTGCGTTAGCTTCTTCTGCTATCTATTTTGGTCTTTTCACTCTTTGATTTTTTTTCATATATGAAAAAAATAGTGTTCAATGAATCATATCTATTGTTGAGATAGTTTTCAACTGGGACAAACTCTTAGGGACTTGTTTTCATTTTACTTGGCTTCAGTTTTTTTTAAAATTATTATTAAATTTTATTCGTTTTAATGAACATTTACAGGGATTTTGGGCTTTCATTCCTTCATTGCTGCACCATTCTCTCTACGCTCCTCCCCAGTTTGTTCTTCTTCCCCCGCCATCTGAATGTCAGTTTTACTTGGCTTCAGTTTTAACTTGCATCTGTGTAGCTGATGGTCTGCTCCACACTCAGCTCCTGGCCTTACTTTGACTGTTGATACTGAGTTTCTCCACATCTCTTTCCACAGAGGTCGTCAGTCTGATTCCTGTGCGTCCCATCAGGTGAAGTCCATTGTATAGTTGCTGCTTACATCTCTGAAAAAGGCATTTGCTATTAAAGCATTCTTTTTCATTTTTTGTGGAATATTATATGATTTGGTGCTGGAAGATAAGCCCCTCAGGTTGCAAGGGACTCAAAATGGGAATGGCGAAGGGCTGCCTCCTGTACGTAGAATCTATCCTAATGACATGGATGGAGTATAGGGCAGCAAGTAATAAATGCTGGAGAGGCTGTGGTGAGATAGGAACTCTTACACACTGTTGGTGGGACTATAAAATGGTACAACCACTCTGGAAAGCAATTGGTGCTTCCTCAAAGAAGCTGAACCTAGAAATTCCATATGACCCAGCTATTCCACTGCTTGGAATTTACCCTGAGAAAATGAGAACTGAGGCTCAAACAGAAACTTGTACACCAATGTTCATAGCAGCATTATTCATTATCACAAGAACATGAAAACAGCCCAGATGTCCAACCACTATCAGATGGATTGAGAAATTATGGTACATTCATACAATGGAATACTACGCAGCACGCAGGAGCAATGATTTTGTAAATCACTACCTAATTTGGGAGGGACTGGAGAGCATTATGCTGAGTGAACTAACGCAGTCTCATAAGGGCAGATACTGTATAAAACCATTGTTGTAGAATGAGTTTGAGGAGCCAAGGGAGGGGGTGGGTAGAAGCAGAGTGAGGCTGGGCAGACAGTGGGGGGTTGGTTAATCACAGGTTTATACAATTTGATTGGGGGGAGGGTGAAGGAAATAGGAAAGATCTGGTAGAAAAAAAGCAATGTATCTAAACTGTAAATAAATCAGTATAAAATAAAAAAAATTTAGAAAACCAATAAAAAACTACTTCCTCCCAGTTAAGGACCCTCATTTGCTGGTGTGGCAAGACTCAAATGAGGAGAAAACTTGTAAACTTCTCCCAATAACTGAAATGTGTAATGAAATAAATGTAGGGAAATTGGAAGTTGTCCCAAATGAAATAGAATACGTGAAGATCAACATCGTAGGCACCAACGAGCTGTGAAGGGTACTGAACATCCCAGGGACCGTGAAAACCCCAAATCTGTCTTAGAGGAAATGCAATCAGATTGTCCTTTGGAGGCAAAGAGGGTAAAACTTTGCACCTTCCACTCACAAACTTTGGGCATGTTGTCAGGAGGCGGCCAGTCCTTGGAAGAAGACATCATGCTGGGAAAGGCAGAAGAGGGTTGGCAAGAAAGAGGAAGACTCTCAGTGAGGTGTTCTGGCTCAGGTGCTGTGACATTGACCTTGAACATGGTGGAGATGGTAAGGGTGGTGGAGGGCAGGGCAAGGTTCCCATCTACTGTTCACTGGGTTGCCACGACTGCGGGTCAACTTGACAGCACCTAGCATCATGCCAGGGACTCTGACAGCAGCCTCCTTAATTCTTACAACAGTCATAGTGCAAGGAAGGCCTTAAGCCCATTTTGCAGATGTGTACACTGAGGCTATGTAACTTGTCTAAAGATTTTCTAGATGTGGCAGAGTCAGGACTTGAACCTAGATTAACACTGCAATGCCTCTCTCCTTCTCACATCCTTATACTAACTGGACACCCTCAGCCCCGTTTTCAGAAGGACCCTAAGGTCCAGAGAGGCAAAGCCAGCACCCTGCATGGGCATGCGGTACAGTCAGAATTTGAACACAGATCTGTATAATTCTGGAGCCTGGGCCTCTGCCCTCAGCCTCTTAACCCCGCCCCCACTGTCAGCCCGAGAGTCCCTCCAGCAGCCCTGGCCAGCGTCTCTGGGGTGGGGAACATAGTGCTCCTGGAATTCTCAGCCACACAGCATGATCACCTACTTATCTCTGTTGAAAACGGTGAACTCCTTCCGCACAGTCTCCAGGCACTGCTGCAGGTGGCCATTCTGTCAGAGAGCACAAGGAGGGGACAGTAAGTGACGGGCATCTGGGAGACATGACAAAGGGGGACACTGAGTGAGGGATCTCTTCCTGAGGACATGCCCTGAGGACATGCACGACATGAAGGATAAGAGGTTCTTTCTCTGGGTCAGGACATTAGACACAAGCACAGGGGCCCGAACCGGACGACTGACATTCTGCCTGGTTTCCACAGACAGCACCCACTCTCCAGCTCACGCCAGCCAAGCTTCCCTCCTGGTCTCACGGCGCGGGAGCGTGTCTCCTGGGTACCATTCTGGTCCCAGCACACGCTAGGGAATTCGAGTGTCTGAGTCAGGGAGTTCTTGGATTGGCCTCTGTTTAACCAGCTGTGTGGTGGGTCCTTGGGTGATGCAAACCATTAATGTGCTCGACTGTGAACCAGAAAAGTTGGCAGTTCGAATCTACCCAGGGGTCCCTCCAGAAGAAGGAGTGGGTGACCTACTTCTGGAAAAGCAGCCACTGCAGACATATGAGCAGGGTTCTGCTGTGACCCACATGAGGTTCTGACGCGGGTCAGAAGAGACTCTACGGGGGTCGCGGCCATAGGAGGTGAGCAAACACAAAATAAGACTGTGGATACTTCTTGTTGCTGTTCACTGCTGTGACCCACGTGGGGTTCTGACGCGGGTCAGAAGAGACTCCACAGGGGGCCTGGAGCAAACACAAAACTCAAAGAGGGTGGACGACACTTCTTGTTGCTCCTGCCGCTGTGGACCCAGCCTGCGGCTCACGGCAATCCCATGCTGCCCGGTGCCATCTCTGTGATGAGCTGCGGATCAAATGGTGTGATTCATCACTTGAATGACTGATTGATTGAATGATTCACCAATGGTAGGATTTCAGAAGCAGAGTGTCAGGACTTTCTTCCTACTGACTTGCTCTGGAAGTTCCACTGAAACTTGTTCAACATCAAAGCAACACTCACATCTTCCTGACATATGATTGGACACCTAGACCTGCACTTTGGTAGCATAGTGGTAAGAAGCTGCACTGCAATCTCAAAGGTGTGTGGTTCAAATCTACCAGCTACTCTGTATGAGAAGGATGGGCAGTCTCTTCCCGTGCAAGGAACTGTCTCTGAAAATTTGGGTCAGCTATGGGTCAGTTTTGACTTGAGAGCACAGAACAATTACAACAACAACAGCTATGAAAGGAGAAAAGAGTGAAACTGTCAATGACTTTATCTTACTTGGATCCTCAATCAATACATTTGGTTCTAGCAGTCAGGACATCAGAAGATGTACTGCATGGGGAAAGTCTGCAGTCAGGGACCTCTCCAAATTACTGAGGAGCAATGATGTTGGTTTGAGGACTAAGGTGCGCCTGATTCAGACCATGGTCTTTTCAAGAATTTGCCATGGTGCTGAGAGCTGGACAATAAGGACCACAGAAGAACTGATGCTTTTGAGTTGTGGCGCTGGTTAAGAGAACTGAACATCCCATGGACGGCCAAAAGAACAAATAAATGCGTCTTGGAGAAAGTGCAGCCAGAGTGCTCCTTAGAGGCAAGGATGGTGAAGTTTCGTCTCTCACACTTTGTGCATGCTGCTAAGAGAGGCTGTTCCTTGGAGAAGGACATAATGCTTGGAAAAGTGGAGTAGTGGTAAAAAAGAGGGAGACCCTCACCCAGGTGGATTGACAGAGTGACAACAGTGATGGGCTTGAGTGTGTCCGAGGTTTTGAGGCTGGCACAGGACGTGGCGGGGTGCAGATCTGTTGTTCTAAGGGTCACTGTGAGTCGTTCTTGGTTTGATGGCACCTAACGAACGGGTTGGTGAAGGAGAGGAAGGCCCGTGATAGGATGGACTGACAGAGTGGCTGCAACCAAAGGCTTGAGTAGGGCTGAGACAGCAAGGAAGGCATAGAATCGGACGGGGTTTGGATCTATGCCACACTGGGTCCCTGTGAGTGTAGGTGACTGGATGACATCTAACAATGTAACAACTATAAAAGATTCCCTTCTTTTATGATGGTGGCCCTTTATGTTTATTGCAATAAAGGTATCTGGAAACTCTATCTGATTCACAATACCTCTCTTGGATGGAAGAGGATGGGTCATAGGGTCTCCAGGGCTGGACTCTTCTGTGGCCAGGATTGGGACTCCCAGTGAGTCTAGGATGGGAATGCATTACGCAGCATTTCCAAGATAAATCTTTGTGGAAGCAGACTGCTCTCTCCCCAAGAGCTGCTGGTGGGTTTAAACCGGCAGCGATTCAGTTGTCAGCTCATCTCCTGACCCCCTGAGCCACCCGGCCTCCTGAACTCTCCTAGGCCAGTTCTCCTCTTCTAAGTGTGAAGCCCGAGGAAGCGCTCACCAGGGAACAGTTGTCCTTCGTGCCGTCTCTGGATCTGTTCTTGGCCAACCTCTTCTTCTTTTTGTGAAGGGGCTTGGACTCTAGGATCATCTCCTCGAGTTCGAACGTGGGATCACAGTTCAGTCTCCCCTTCTGAAGGAAAGAGATCACAGTTTGAGCCTATGCCACATCTCACGGAATTATCTTTATGTTCACTCAGTCAGTCATTCCACAAACAACGATGGGCTACCCTCTGTGAGTGTGACCCAGGCCTAAATGCTGTGTGTGGTCCTCAGGTCTGACCACAGCCATCGTAGAAGCTTCCCTGGCTGGCTCCTGGGGGAAGATGCCCTGCCTGCCCCACAACTGATTAGCTCCCAGGCTGGATGGAATTGGAGTCAAGGACTCAAATCCCACTCTCCAAGCTGACCATGCTTTTGGGTATATCTGCATTCATAGCTTTAATGGGTTGGACTATGTCTTCTCCCAAATATACCTGGGGATGTGATGTAAATGAGTGTCATGTTGTGTATTATAGAAAGTGTGATGTAATGGAATGGAATTCTTGCAAAGTAAAGTATCAAAGCTCAGATGGCATAATCTGTAGAGTGTTGTGCTGCTAGCCCAAATCTGCTGGTTCAAACCCACTAGTCGTCCTGTGGGAGAAAGATGGGCAATCTCATCCTGTGTGATTTACAGCCTCAGAAAACCCACTGGAAGGTCAGCCATGAGTCAGTTCCAACTGGACAGCAATGAGTTTGAGGTTTTTTTGAGTTTGACTGTATTGTAATGCAAAGTGATGTGATGTAAGCACTTCCCATAATGCAACCAAGTGTAATGTAATGTAATGTAATGTAATGTAATGTAATGTAATGTAATGTAATGTAAACGTAACGTAACGTAACGTAACGTAACGTAACATAACGTAACGTACATAGGGTTGCTATGAGTCGTAAACGACTCGACGGCACATAGCAACAACAACACAATGTAATGTATGTAGTGTAGTGATGTGTTATACAATGTACAGGAAGGTGATGCACTGTCACAACCTTCTGTAACATAGCCCAGTATTATATAGTGTGATGTAACACAGGGTATTGTCATTGTAATGCAGGATAATGTAATGTAATGTAATGTAATGTAATGTAATGTAATGCAATGCAATGTATGTACCGTCATAAACTTCTGCAGTACAAGGAAATGGAATGCAGTGCAGTCTAATGTTGTGTTGTTGTGTACCGTAGAGTTGGAACTGACCTGTAGCTGACCCTCCAGTGGGTTTTCAGAAGCAGTTAGTTAATCACATAGAAGGAGCTTGCCCATCCTTCTCCCAGTGAGCAGCTCGTGGCCTCGAACTGCGGGCTTTTGGGATTGCAGTGCAGCTTCTTGCCACAAGGCCATGTAAAGTAGTGTGATTCAATGTAATAACCTTCTATGACACACCGAATGTAATACAATGTATTCTTATTGTAATGTATCAGAACATAACACAGTGTAGTATAATGTAACAGTAACTTAATGTAACATCACATCATTACATTACATCATGTGATACAATATAGTCAAGTAATGTAATGGATTGCGATGCAGTCACCTGCTGTGACTTCACTTTCTGTAATCACTTTGTGCAATCACTTTCTGTAACACAACCTAGCGCAAAGTCATCATCAACTGAGGGTCGACCTGTGTAGGGTGGGTCCCAAACCTAATTACTTCTGAGTCACAAAAGGAGCAGATGAGACCCAAATGGGGATATGCCCTGGGGAGGACAGACACCATGTGAGGCTTCCCAGCAGGAGGGATCTGACATGGCCGAGAGCTTGACTTTTAGCCTCCAGAGCTGGATGGAAACACAGCTCTGTCACATACTTGTGGTGCTTGTTCCACAGCTTCTAGGAGATGGGACATTCAGAGCCCACCCCCCACCCCCAGAGTGTCTGCTGAGACCTCCTCAAGGGATGGGAGGAGGTGTGAAGACACTTCAGCCTTAGCACTCAGTACTTTCCCCCTCAATCTCTCCTCTCCCTAAATGACCTGTTGCCGCTGAGCCTATTCTGAGTCCAGTGCCCCATGGATTCCAGAGCAGAACTGTTCTATAGGGTTTCCTGAGCTATAATATTTTCTTTACAAAGGCTGACTGCCAGGCCTTTCTTCCTTGGCACCACGGGGTGGGCTTGAACTGCCGACCTTTAGCTTTAGAGCTGAGTTTCATAGCTCCTAACCTGTAGACACAAGAACCTCAGAGAATGACAGGATGATAGTCCCTGAAGTCAGTACTAAGTGGTCATATATGCAACAGGTCTACCCATAGTCCCATGAGGAGCTCTGGTGGTGAGGTGCCTTCCGTGCTGTGCTGTAAACCAAAAGGTCAGTGGTTCAAATTCACCAGGGACTCTGAGGGAGAAAGAAGGCAGCTTCCTTCTGTAAAGATTTGCAGCCTTGGACCCCTGGTGGGGGTTGTTATGAGTCAGAATTAACTTGATGGGTGAGTGTGTTGGGTCTTTTTTTAGAGTCCTGCTAGGTGGGGTGAGGTCTCAGTTCTGTTCCTTTCTGACCTTGGGCAAATGGCCTCTCTTCCCTGAGGTTCAGTTTGTTGCTGGAAACCTGGATAGCAATGCTTCCCTCCTTCTTACCTGGAGAGGGGTCAGTTCTGACTCCCACAGCTTCATTGTGCAGGGCAGACCTGAGTGTTCACTCCTCAGTGCAAGGGAGGAGACGCAACCAGCACCGTACCCACCCAGGCACATAGGACAGCTGTCCACCTGGCTGCGTGGTGATCACACAAGCCCACCCTCAACTTCAGCGAGCTGTGAACAGTGACCATGCGGGCCTCACTGACCACCTGCCTGGGGTGGTAGCCTTTATACCATCGAGGGGACCCTGCAGTAGGTGACATGACATTGGGCAGGATTCCCACTCACGTTGGGCACAAAGCCGGGCGTCAGCGCCTTCTCCAACACCGCATCCCAGTTCATGTCGGCCAGATAGGGTGAGCTCTGCATGTCACCAAGGCTGGACAGCCGGCTCTCAGGGTCCTTGGTCAGGAGCTGTGGTCAGAGGGCAGACATACCTTCAAGCGTGTGTGCCTTGGAAGGATCACTGTGATGGAGGGGGCTTAGGACAAGGGCAGGCCTTCTGTTCCTTACGTTGTCCCTGGAAGGCCAGATCCTACCCTCATCTCCCTGTGGTCAGACAGGATGGGGAGGTCGGCCTGCCCCTTCAAGGTCCCCAGTACAGAGCTCTTTGGTCAGAAAACTATGTACCAACTCCCCATTTCCCTTTTAAACACATTGCTGTAGAAAAAAAAAAATACAGCATAATGTGTTTACAAAAACACCTTGCAGAGGCAGGGCGAAGCCAAGAGCACGTGTGTGTTATCTCTGTGGGCGCTGGAAGATCCTCTCCGCATGTTGCCTCTATCGGTGTCAATGTAGGCAAGGGCTTCTACGGAAAAGCAGAACGAATCATCCGCTTCCTTTTATAAATTTTAATTTGGTAACTGGAGACAGCACGTAACAACAACAACAACAACAACTGGAGACACTGAGATGCAATAACATTCCTGCCTGGCCAGTTACAGAGTGATGTCTGGAGCCCCAGGGAAGGGGCTTGATGGGACACATTTTAGCTTCTATTCCACTGGGTTCCTGTTGATGAGGGTGATACAGTGTAAAACCCCACAGGCAACAATGGCCCTGCACCCAAGCCGCAGATATCCAGAGCACATCTAGTTCACAGAGAGTAAACAGCAACTAGGCAGAAATAAAGGATGAGGGCTTGAGTCCTGTCCCAAATATATCTAGCTCCTTTCAAGACTGAATTATTTCGCACTTTGATTTTTTTTTTTGGCTGTTCAAACCATGTAGTTTTGATAATTTTGACTGAAGTGGAAACTAACAAAAAATAATCCCAAACCTATTTGCGGTAATACAGATTGGTGTTGTATTGCACTGGGAAAGTCTGCAGCCAGGGACCTCTCTAAATTGTTGAGCAGCAGTGATGTTAGTTTGAAGACTAAGGTGTGCCTGATTCAGGCCATGGCCTTTTCAATCACTTTCTAAGCATCTGAGAGCTGGATAATGAAAAAGGATGGCAGAAGAACAGATACCTTTGAGCTGTGGTGTTAGACAAGAGTACTGAATAACCAATGGATGGCCAAAAGAACAAACAGATGTATCTAGGTGAAGGTGCAGCCAGAGTGCTCCTTGGAGGCAAGGATGACCAAAGCTTCACGTGGCACGCTTTGGGCATGTTGCTAGGAGAGGTTATTCCTTGGAAAGGGACATCATGTTTGAAAAGGAGGAGAGTTGGTGAAAGGAGAAGACCCTCAACTAGGTGGATTGACATAGTGATTGCAGCAATGGGCGTGAGTAGGTCAGAGCTAGTGAGGAAGGCACAGGATAGGGTGGGGGCTGGCTCTGTTGTTCACAGGGTCACTATGAGCCATCCTCAACTCGTCAGCACCTAACAACAAGAACGAGAGCTTTGAAGAAGGTGCACTGTCGTCTGGTTTGTACAGATTAGTGCACTTTGAAATGTCTCCACTAGATGGCAGCATGCACTGAGCATGGGACAGCACTTTCCCACTAAACCCACAGTGGACAATCCAGGTGGACACCTTCTGTCCCGTGGGTCACCCAGGAGCTAGTATCTGTGCACGTAGGAGCACCTGATCTGCACTCTGCTTGTTTGCTTCCCTGAAAGCAGGAACATGAAAAGTAACTCTTGCCTAGCTGATGATAACAAAACGAGATGGTGAAGGATCCGGGACCTTCTGGGGAGGGTTCTAAGCCCTTCTAACAGAGGAATCTGAAGTTTGGAGGTCTTCTGTGCTGGTCACTACCGCATGGGATGGATTAACCGGTAAACAGTGCTGTTATTGTTATGTGACGTCGAGTCGCTTATGACTCATAGTGACCCTGTGTTCAAGAGCCCTACACCCTGCTCTATGCTGTGCCAGCCTCACTGTCTCTGACACACCTACTCCCGTTACCCCAGTCACTGAATCGATCCATTAAACATGACCCGTGTTGATCCAGGCACCGTGTCATCCCTTCTCACCGAGGGTCGTCTTCTTCACCGACCACCTGCGTTACCAAGCATGATGTCCTCAGGGGCCTTGCCTGGAAGAGGGTCATTCTGACTGCACTTCTTTCAAGACAGATTTGTTTGTCCTTTTTTGTCTGTCAACTTTTGCTCCTGTGTTGGCTTTCATGTTGTCCTGACACTGCAAACTCTACCACAGGCATTTTAGATCCCAGCAGGGTCGCCCATGATGGACAGGTTTCTGTGGAGCTCCCAGGCTAAGGCAGACAAGGAAGCAGACCTGGACGTCCACGTCTGTAAAATAAGCAGTGAGAGCCTTACAAACAGTAGTGGGATGCCCCGACCGTGGTGGGCACGGTGCAATCAGAACTGCAGACTGACGGGGAGACACAATCAGACACACGTGCACCTCGTTTACTGGGTAACCAGTCCTACTGCCACCTGTCACTGACTTCTGGTCTTGAATGAAGAGTGGACCAGAGTCTCGAAGTGCTTATGGGACACCTGGCAGGGGCTGTACCTGCCAACCAAGGTGGCCGTATGCTGTGGACTGAAGTCAAGACTTAGTTCAGCGGCATATGCCACTGTTGCTGCCGTATGCTGTCAAGTTGGAACCAACTCATAGCTGGTCCTCCAAAGGGTTTTCAGAGATTGTAAATCACAAGAGAGGAGACTTTTATTTTTTCCCCATGGTGTAGCTGGTGGATTTGAACTGCATGCCTTTGGATTGGCAGCACAGCTCCTTACCATTACACCATGAGAGCCACACGGACACTCATTATTCATGCAGCGGTTTTGAAGCCAGGGTGCTGTCCAGACCCCACCGCTGAGTGTGTGTACATGACTTGCAGCCAAGTTCGATGAGCACGGGGATTAAGAATTACTGACATTAAAGAACCAAATTATGTATTTACTTCGAAGTAATGTAACTCATCAGTAATTCAACAGGCAATTTTCAGCAACGGGGAGTTTGGGTTCTAGAGTTAGAAGGTCTTCGGTTCCAAGCTGGCTCCCTGCTTTTTCCTAGTCTTGTGAGAGTTTTTGAGTGATCTTTGCTTCCAAGGCTCCTGGGAGGGAGCTCAGGGGGCCTGGTGAGTAAAAGGTTACGCTGCCAACCCCAAGGCATGGTGTCAGGAGAGCAGGCCCTGGAGGAGGACATCATGCTTGATGCAGACGGACAGTGAAAACAAGAGACAGAAATGGATCGATACAGTGACGGTAAGAGCAGGCTGGGGCCTAGCAGTGCTGTGAGGACAGCAGGCGACCAGGAGCTCTCCGCTGGGTCCATGCAGGGTCGCTATGAGTTGGGGTTGACTTGACAGCACCATCACCACCAGCAAGGAGCCCCTACTCCCTGGACTGCTCCCCTCACCTTTCCTTGTTCTCTAATTTGTGGGTGTGCTGCCGTTTCCGAAGCCCCTTCACCACCCCCGCCTGGCCCGCCCTCACCTTCTTCAGGAGGGCTACCATGCCCTTGCACCACGTGGATGAGTAGTGGACACGTTCCACCTTGAACATGCTGAGGATCTCATCGATGGGCGTGGCCGAGTGGATTTCGTACGGCCTCTGCAAGTGAAGCCACACACACACACACACACACA